CTGCTGAACTGAATATTCAGTTCATCTGTGAGACAGCCAGCAGGTTGCTGTTTTTGTCAGTACACTGGATGAAAGAAGCTCGAACAGGATTGAAGTGAGTGTGATAGCGAAAGCATCGGCAGGCTATCATGGCGCAATGCGTGTGCGCGCCGTTGCGGTGTGACGATGACACACTTGTGAGTACCTGATCAAATCCTCTAAGAAGTTCTGACCGCAAAGTCCATGTTTTCAAACCCTTCATTGATGACATGACTTGTAACGCTGTGATACTATCCTGTGGATTCTGTAGGGATTTTCTGTAGAAGGTTTTACAGTACTCCTGAGGCTACGTGCCGTGCTTAGAGGATTTGGTCAGTGGCGAATGTTTAGCCCTTTTGAACCAGCTTATAGAGACAGTGTTTGCTTCAGACTGAACCAGTTTATACTGTTGCCCGTTTAAAAGCGTTTTTCACTACGAACGCTCCTTGAGCGCTTCGGCGAACCAGTGGGCTTTGACCGGTTCAATTGACGCGATTTCGAGCACTCGTACAGTTTTTTTTCTCCTGCAGGCCATTCACACTGGAGTCAGTGATGAAGACGAAATGGTGCGATCTGTTCGTGCTCGGATTGATGCAATGTGCTGAGGAGGTTGGACTGTCTCGGATGCTCGAAGCGATGAACAGTCATCTGGCAGCTTGCAGTCGCGTCGGTAAGTTGCGTTTAACTTATTTTGAAGCAACTCAAAAGCATTTTCTACAGAATATTAGATGCGTAAGAATAAAGGAGGTAAATGGCTCATTACGGAACGCACATTTCCACCATTGCAATTCGTGGGTATTGGGGTTCCGAGAAGGAAGGGTATGTGTTAGTCGACTTTCCGGATCAAAGAAGGAAAACTTCTTGATCACACTACTTCAGAAACGAGCATTATGTGAGCATATGAAGAAGAGTGGGCTCGTCCCGGTGAGTTTAGGTGTCTCGGTTCTTGTGAGCAGATCCTTCTTCTTATCACGTCTTTTTCACCTTTTTGACCTCACCATTTCCTATCATGGGGCAGAGTTATTCTCA